CCAGGCTGAAGTGCAGTGGTGTGATCTGGGCTCACTGCAACCTCTGCCTCCTGGGTTCTAGCGACTCTCCTGCCTCAGCCTCCCAAGTAGCTGGGATTACAGGCACCTGCCACCATGCCTAGCTAATTTTTGTATTTTCAGTAGAGACAGGGTTTCACCATGTTGGTCAGGCTGGTCTTGAACTCCTGACTTCGTGATCTGCCCGCCTCGGCCTCCCAAAGTGCTGAGATTGTTGTAGCATGAGCCATGGCGCCCAGCCAGCACTATGCCTTTTAATTGCAGAATTTAGTCTATTTACATTGGCTTCACTGTTGGATTCTATAAAACATTTAAAGAAGAACTAATACGAATTCCATTCAAACTCTTCAAAATCAATTAAAAAGGAGGAAATATTTCCAAACTCATTCTACAAGATCAGCATGACCCTGATACCAAAACTAGACAAGGACGCAACAAAAATGAAAACTACAGGCCAATATCCCAGAAGAACGCAGATGCAAAAACTCTCAACTCAATAAGAGCAAACCAAATTTCAATATTACATTAAAAAGATTATTCACTGTATCAAGTGAGATTCATTCCAGAGATGCAAAGATAGTTCAACATATGCAAATCAATAAGCATGACAACATAGTTTGGATATTTGTCCCGATCTAAATCTCATGTTGAATTGTAATATTGAGTGTGGGAGATGAAGCCCGGTGGGAGGTGTTTGGATCATGGGGGCAGATCCCTCATGAACAGCTTTGGGCCATCCTCTTGGTGGTAAGTGAGATCTTGCTCTGAGTTCACAAGAGATCTGTTGTTTAAAAGTGTGCGGCACCTCTTCTCCCACTCTCTTGCTCTCGTTCTGATTTTAACATGTGATGTACCAGCTCCCCTTTTACCTTCTGCCAGAACTGTAAGCTTCCTGAGGCCTCCCCAAAAAATGAACTACACCATGCTTCCTATACAACCTGCAGAACTGTGAGCCAATTAAATCTCTTTTCTTATAAATTACTCAGTCTCAAATATTTCACGATAGCAGTGAAAGAACAGCCTACTACACATGATAAGCTGGGCACAGTGGCATGTGCCTGTAATCCCAGCTTCTCAGGAGGCTGAGGTGGAAGGATCACTTGAGTCCGGGAGTTTCTGACTACCCTGGACAACAAAGGAAGACTCTATCTTAAATAATAATTATTATAAAATAAAATAAACATGATACATCACATTAGCAAAACCAAGAACAAAAACCATACAATTATTTTAATAAATGCTGAAAACACAGTTGCTAAAATTCAACAGCCCTTTATGATAAAATTCTTATTAAGCTGGGCACAGAAAGAACACACTTCAAGATAACAAATGCCATATATGACACACCCACAGCTAACATCATTCTGAATGGGGGTAAATTGAAGGCCTTTCCCCTAAGATTTAGAACAACACAAGGATGCCCACTTTCACCACTTTTACTCAACACAGTACTGGAAGTCCTGGCCAGAGCAATTAGGCAAGAGAGAGAAATAAAAGGCATACAAATTGCAAAAGAAGGAGTCAAGTTAGCTTTGTTTACAGATGGTATGATCTTATACTTAAAAAAAAAAACTAAATAATCCACAAAAAATCTGTAAGAATTTCAACTGAATTCAGTAAAGTTGCCAGATACAAAATCAACATATAAAAATCAGCAGAATTTACATATGCCAACAGTGAAGAATCTGAAAAAGAAATCAAGAAAGCAAGCCTGTTTACAATAGCCACAAAGAATATAAAATACCTTGGAATCGATTTAACCAAAGAAGTGAAAGACCTGTATAACAAAAACTATAAAAAACTGATTCAAGAAATTGAAGAGAATACAAAAAATGGACAGATAATCCATGCTCATGGAGTGGAAGAACATTGCTAAAATATCAGTGCTACCCAAAGCAATTTACTGATTCAATGTAATTCCTATCAAAATAAAGTGACACTCTTCATAGAAGTAGAAAAAAAAAATCCTAAAATTCATTTGAAACCATGAAAGATCCTAAATAGCTAAAAAAAAAAAAAACCCTGAGCAAAAAGTAACAAAGCTGGAGGCATCACACTACCTAACTTCAAAATTTTCTACAAAGCTATAGTAACTAAATCTACATGGCACTGGTATGAAGACAGACACACAGACCAATGGAATGGAATAGAGAACTCAGATATAAATACATGCATTTACACCAATTCATCTTCAACAGAGGTGCCAAGAACATGAAACAGAGAAAGAACGGTTGTTTCAATAAATGGTGCTGGAAAAACTAGCTAACTATATGTGGAAGAATGAAACCAGACTCCTATCTCTTGCCATATCCAGAAATAAAAATGGATTAAAGACTTAACTCTAAGACCTCAAACTATAAAACTGTTGCAAGAAAACATTGGGGGAATTGCTCTAGAACACTGGTCTGGACAAAGACTTTTTTGTGTAAGACCTCAAAAGCACAGGAAACCAAAGCAAAAATATACCAATGGGGTTTTGTTAAGCAAAAAAACTTCCGCACAGCAAAGAAAATAATCAACAAAGTGAAGAGACAACCCACAGAACAAGAGAAAATATTTGCAAACTACCCATCTAACAATGGGTTAGTAACCAGAAGATACAAGGAGCTCAAACAACTCACTAGCCAAAAACAAGCAAATAAAAAGATTAAAAATGGCAAAAGAACTGAATACTCTCAAAAGACATACAAAAGGCAAACAAGTATGCGGAAAACATGTTTAACATCAGTAATCATTGGGGACATGCAAATCAAAACTACAATGAGGTGTAATCTCACCCTCATTAAAGTAGCTTCTATCAATAATACAGGCAGTAATGGATGCTGATGAGGATGTGCAGAAAGGGGAACTCTCATACACTGTTGGGAATGTAAATTAGAATAGCTACTCTGGAGAACAGTATTAAAGTTCCTCAAAAAACTGAAAATATACATATGATCCAGCAATTCTACTGGGTATACAGTTGGAAAAAAAAAAGATGAATATATTGAAGAGATAACTGCACTCCCATGCTTATTGCAGTACTATTCACAACAGCCAAACTATGGAATCAGCCTAAGTGAATATCAGCAGATGAATGGATAAAGAAAATGTAGCATACACATACACACACACACACACACACACACACACACAGACACACACACAAAAGAATATTATTCAGCCATAAAAAATGGAATCCTGACATTTGCAGCAACATGGACGGAATTGGAGGTCATCATGTTAAGTAAAATAAGCCAAGCACAGAAAGACAAATATGGCACATTCTCACCCGCATGTGGAAGCTAAAAAAGTGAATCTCATACAGATTAAGAGTAGACTGGTGGTTACTAGAGGCTGGAAAGGGTGACGGAAAGGGTGATGGGAAAGGAGGAATGCAGAGAAGTTTATTAATGCATACAAACATACAGTATGCTTAAAAAGGTAGGCCTGGTGTTAGATCAGTAGGGTAAACATAGTTTACAATAATTTTTTTTCCTCCAACTTCTGTTTTAAGTTCCAGGTACATGTGCAGGATGTGCAGGTTTGTTAAATAGGTAAATGTGTGCCATGGTGGTTTGGTACACAGACCAACCCATCACCTTGGTATTAAGCCCAGCATCCATTAGCTATTCTTCCTGATGCTCTTCCTCCCCTCTAATTTACTGTACATTTAAAAACAGCTAGAAGAGAATTCGAATGTTTCCAGTATAGAGAAAAGACAAATATTTAAGGTGATGGATACCCCAAGTACATTAATTTGGTACCCAAGTACATTAATTTGATCTTTAAAAATTATATGAATGCATTACATTATCACGTGTGCCCCAAAACTATGTACGTATATCACGCATCAATAAAATTTTTAAAAATTACTACGGGGGAAAAAAGAGTGTTAAAGATTCTTGTCTCCCACACTTGTAAGTCAAAGATAATACTGATAGATAATGCCTAAATTTGAGAAAATCAAGAGCATCAATGTAAGCATATGCTTAAACATGCAGATATAAATACATATTTTCCTGAACTTTGTGCACTTATATATTAAATTTTTAAAATTTACAACCACTTAAATTGCTTTAAAATCCCTTTCATGAGATCTAGAAACTAACATGACATGCTTAAAAATATTAATTCTCTCTAAAAAGAAAAAATAAAAATAAATCTTTCATTCTTCAAAGGGGCTTTCTAGTTTGTTAAGATTGGAGTGCAAGGATAGTGAATGGCCATGCACTTGTTTCATGTATGATGTATTTCAAGAATAAGTAGACTTGAAAGGCCGAGAGAGGTAGTTCATGTCTATAATCCCAGAACTTTTCAACGCCGTGTAGGTGGTTGGAAGAACATGGATCACACCCAGGAGTTTGAGGCCAGGCTGAGTAACACAGGGTGTCCCCATCTCTACAAAAAATTTAAAAAGTAGCCAGGCATGGTAGTGTATGCCTGTGTTTCAGCTACTTAGGAAGCTGAGTTGGAAGGATTGCTTAAGCCTGGGAGACCAAGGCTGCAGTGAGCTGTGATCACGCCACTGCACTCCAGCCTGGTAACAGAGTGAGACCCTATCTCACACACAAAAAATAAACAAATAAAATAAAAAATAAACAGATTCGAAATGGGAAAAAAATCAAAATGACCTTAAAATCTCTAAAGTTTGGCCAGGCGCGGTGGCTCAAGTCTGTAATCCCAGCACTTTGGGAGGCTGAGGTGGACGGATCACGAGGTCAAGAGATCGAGGCCATCCTGGCCAACATAGTGAAACCCCATCTCTACTAAAATACAAAAATTAGCTGGGCATGGTGGCATGCGCCTGTAGTCCCAACTACTTGAGAAGCTGAGGCAGGAGAATTGCTTAAAGCCAGGAGGCAGACATTGCACTGAGGGGAGATCGCACCACTGCACTCCAGCCTGGTGCCTGGCAAAAGAGCAAGACTGTCTCAAAAAAAGAAAAAAGTCTCTAAAGTTCTAGTCTCCAACTGAAATGAAAATACTCTCTTTTCTATCAGGTCTGCAACATGAAAGTCACAGGCATCACAATACTCTTTTGGACTCTCGCCATGATATTATTATCAGACAAAAGCCAGTCTTCTAAAACAGTAAGTTTTTACAATCAAAGGAGTAAAAATATTTTCAAAGGTACATTTTCTGTATATTTCATAAAATATCAAAAGGCAATAAGCAAGCAAAGAAAATCTGACCTATTAAAACCAAGTTTACTTAGCTGTATATGTCCAAATTCCAATTTGACAAAAGTAGCCTTCATTTTTAAAAACTGAGTTCTTGGCTGGGCAGGGTGTCTCATGCCTGTAATCCTAGCACTTTGGGAGGCCGAGGCAGGCGGATCACGAAGTCAGGAGTTTGAGATCAGCCTGGCCAACACAGTGAGACCCCATCTCTACTAAAAATACAAAAGTTAGCTGGGCATGGTGGCACGTGCCTGTAGTCCCAGCTACTCTGGAGGCTGACTCAGGAGAATCACTTGAACCCAGGACATGGAGGTTGTGGTGAGCCGAGATGGTGCCACTGCACTCCAGCCTAGGCAACAGAGCAAGATTCCATCTCAAAAAACAAACAAACAAAAACTGAGTTCTTTAAAAGTTGATTAAAGGGAGAGATCTGAAATTTTTCACTATAAAATCAGAAATTAATTTCAAGACTAAAAACTTATTTAAAATGTAGGAAACATTTTTAATCACATATTTATGAGGGAAATTCCTATTGCATTATTATTGGTGAAAAATTCTAACTGCAAAAACAGTATTAAACAAAAACTATTCTTAGTTTTATTCTTAGTTTACTATTCAGTAAAAACAAGAAATATTTCTTTCTTTCCATCTATATCCACATAAAGAAAACACTTCAGGTTGTGTGGCTCTTTAAATTCAATACATAGCTCCATTTCTGATATAAGATAAAGATTTCCTTTTAAAACTTTGAGCTGTTAAGCCCAGAGAGCTATATATTGAGTGTTATTTATTAATTTTGCTTTTTTTGTGAGACAGAGTCTTGCTGTGTCCCCAGGCTGGAGTGCAATGACACAATCGCAGCTCACTGCAACCTCCTCCTTCTGGATTCAAATGATTTTCCTGCCTCAGCCTCCCAAGTAGCTGGGATTACCATGCCTGGCTATTTTTTTTTTTTTTTTTTTTTGTATTTTTAGTAGAGACAGGGTTTGGCCATGTTGGACAGGCTGGTCTTGAACTCCTGACCTCAGGTGATGCACCTACCTTGGCTGCCCCCAAATTACAGGCGTGAGCCATCATGCCCAGCCTACTTATTAATTCTTTAACAGCCCTAGGTATAATGTTGTTAGCTCTGCTGATTTTAAAAACACATATAGTTCCTCATTACAAAGCAATCATGCACACTGGAATATTAAATGTTAACAGAAGTAATATTTACCATATATTTCCACATATATAAGTGGGAATATACCAATATTACTACTTTCTGTAATGATTTTGTAATAACAGTTGGAAAATATCTGTATAACAAATTGGAATCTCCTCAATTTTATGTATCACGATGTCCTTAGTTTTTAATATTTCATCCCAATAAAGAAAGAAAAAGACTTGCTCTACTACAACACCAAAAGATTAGACAGGTTTTTTTCCCAAAACAATTTCCTTCTAATGTCTAAGTGCTTAAATATGAAATTTGGGGAAAATTCTATTAATACTTTTTCTAATTAATGCATTTCTTTTTTTCTTTTTTTTAGGAAGTTCAATATAATTTCACTGAAAAGAATTATTCCTTGATTCCAGCAGATATCAAGAAAGATGTTACTATACTTGATCTCAGTTATAACCAAATTACTCTTAATGTTACAGATACACGAGTTCTACAGACATACTTTTTACTCACTGAGCTCTATTTGATTGAGAACAATGTTACTACCTTACATAATAGCAGTTTTTGTAACCTCTCCAATCTAGAAATTTTAAATATCTGTAGAAACTCCATATATGTAATTCAACAAGTTGCATTTTTAGGCTTAAATAAACTAACACAGTTATATCTTTGCCATAACAAAATAGAACAACTGAATGCTGATATATTTGTGCCTCTAAGAAACCTAAAACTACTGAATCTGCAAGGCAATTTGATAAGCTATTTGGAGGTACCACCACTATTTCATCTGGAATTAATAGCTTTATATGGAAACCTATGGAACTGCTCTTGTAGTCTATTTAATTTACAGAACTGGTTGAACACATCAAATGTGACATTAGGTAAGCTATCATAATTTTAATTAAGCAAAACCAAAATGTGATTAATTCAATGTTTCACCACAGAAAAATCTCTCATGTCATGTTTTAAAGAAAAGGAAGCAGCCAGGCACAGTGGCTCACACCTGTAATTGTAGCACTTTGGAAGGCCAAGGTGGGCAGATCACCTGAGGTCAGGAGTTCGAGACAGCCTGGCCAACAAGGTGAAACCTTGTCTCTACTAAAAATACAAAAATTAGGTGGGTGTGGTGGCACACGCCTGTAGTCCCAGGTACTCAGAAGGCTGAGGCAGGAGAATTGCTTGAACCCAGGAGGCGGAGGTTGCAGTGAGGCAAAATCATGTCACTGCACTCCAGCCTGGGAAACAGAGTGAGTCTCCATCTTAAAAAAAAAAAAAAAAAAAAAAAAGAAAGAAAAGAAAAGGAAGCAATTGTGTTTAAGCAAAACAGGAAGAAACACTAAAAAGTAACTGCTGCATAGATGCTCTCCTTCTCTAATACCAGGGGGAAAAATGAAAAAATTTAAATGTTCTATATATGTGAGATGATAATGTCGCTTCATGTATTGTTAGCTAAGTCAATATGTAAGACGAATTTTTTAAAGTACTTCCTAGACTAAGTGAAAACAAGTGGCCCATTTTAACTGCAAACCTATGTGTGCCTGAGATCCAGATTATAACCACTGTATTAATAATAAAATCAATACTAACACAGACAAACTAAATAATAACACCTATTGCATTTAAGCCATATTTGTAAAATAACTTAATAAAACAGAAATGTATATCATTCTTTCATTGTGTTGCTAGACAAATACAACGGGAATTTCTTTCTTATAATGCCTTTAAGAATGAAATATATGTCAAAAATTCCAGATAAAATAATTATAAAATGTTGTTACTATTATTTTTCTCTACAATAAATCTTATTATTTCTAATTTACTAGAAAATGAGAACATCACCATGTGTAGCTACCCCAACAGCCTGAAGAGCTACAATATCAAAACAGTACCTCATACGGCTGAATGCTACTCAAAATTTTCTTCACTTATCAATGAAGATCTTTATATTCATTTTCAGCCCATCAGCAATTCAACATTTAATAGCTCTTTGAACAACTTAACAAGAAATTCAGGTAATGTATGCTGGTTCTGAATATTAACACTGCTGAATGTATCATACTAAATAAACCAAGGTAGCTCTCTTTACTTTAAATTTCTATAAAAAATTTAAAAGAACAATTTCTCATCTCAACTAAAGATTTATAAAATATTGGTCTTCCAAACTAGGCTTTGCTAATTACAAGCTAAACACCATTGTGCAAATTATTTAACTTCTCTGAGCCTTTGTTTTAACTAGTCTAATCACAAATCCTAATGAGTATAAATCAATGCGGTCTTAGGTAAAAAAGTAACAAAATTGCAAAGACAGCTATTTGGAAAAAAGGAAATTCACCATACGAAATTCATCTGAAGAAAACTACAATGTATGTTTATTTCTAATACAAATATTGATGATAGTTGATATATGATTATGATTATTTTGCCAACTTAACAAATTTTCTTTCTCTCCTATCTTGGTATTCCATTAAAGAACATGAACCTCTTGGAAAAAGTTGGACTTTCCTTGTTGGTGTTGTTGTCACTGTACTGATGACTTCACTCCTCATTTTTATTGCTATCAAATGCCCAATATGGTATAATATTCTGCTTAGTTATAATCATCATCGCCTGGAAGAGCATGAAGCAGAAACCTATGAAGATGGTTTTCCTGGAAATCCAAGCCCTCTTTCCCAGATACCAGAAACAAACTCTGAAGAAACTACAGTAATATTTGAGCAATTACATCCATTTGTGATAGATGATGATGGATTTATTGAAGACAAATATATAGATATCCATGAATTATGTGAAGAAAATTAATTTTTTTCAAAGTTTGCTTTTTAAAACAAAGTTATCAGCTCACTCACAGTTTAGATATGCGGATTTTACTATGTGGCATACCAAAATATAGTTAGCAGACATTCATATTAATTACGATATACATGAATATCATAAATTAATGTTATCTGCATTGTATTGAGCAAGCAGGTTCAAATGCAATAACTGACATTCCTTGGTAGCTGACAGTTATAGTTAGTCTACAATACTAGCACTACTATTCTTAACAGTATTCAGGTGACCATACAGACTAGTAAAAAGGCCTGAAGTAGGCGGGGCACAGTAGCTCACGCCTGTAATCATAGCACTTTGGGGGGCCGAGGCGGGCGGATCACAAGGTCAAGAAATCGAAACTACCCTGACCAACATGGTGAAACCCCGTCTCTACTAAAAAATACAAAAATTAGCTGGGCCTGGTTGTGGGAGTTTGTAGTCCCAGCTACTCGGAAGGCTGAGGCAGAAGAATCACTTGTACCGGGAGGCAGAGGTTGCAGTGAACTGAGATTGCACCACTGCACTCCAGCCCGGTGTCAAAGCAAGACTACCTCTCAAAAAAAGGCTTAAAGTAAATTATTCATTAATTAAAATGAATGGATTCTCATGTTAACACAGATATTTGACATAATATATATTAAATTATATTAAGGTTTCAATCAGTAAAGAAATAAAAGTTTGGGATTTATTAATATATGGTAAGTCAAAGTGAGGAACAGAGATAGCTTAAATAACACACTGATTGATTTTATGCTCACAGAATAAATTTACAGAGTTGGAAAAATTTTTTGAAATGCTTCCTGAATTAGCACAATAAATTTCCTTAAAATTTCAAAGCAATTAAAACCGCAAGGACAATGTTCAGACAAATCCCTAATAACTCACTATTGATTCTGGTTATGAAGAAAGGTTGTCACCATAATGCAGTTTCACTACAGTTTAACATCATAGTGGCTTCCAAAATGGGCATTATAATTATGTATGAATCTTGTTTTAAAATCTCTGGGAGACCTGTTTTTCAAATTGGTCTGTGCTGGGACTGAGGAATCTTCAGTTCGTCCACAGACAGCTGTTTCTATCGGTTGGGTAGAGACAGCAATGTTTCCCAAATTGTTTTCCTAGAATACTAATTTCCAGAGAGACATTCACAAGCATTTACAGAAGAAAAGGGTACCTGGTCAAATTACTATACAAAAACTAGGTTTAAACAAAGTGAAACAAGATTCTTTACCATACGATTTATGTAAGACTTTACTAGGCCAAACTGCCCTCTGATTATTCAAGAGCAAAGTATTAAAAATTTCTCGCCGGGCGCGGTGGCTCAAGCCTGTAATCCCAGCACTTTGGGAGGCCGAGGCGGGTGGATCACGAGGTCAAGAGATCGAGACCATCCTGGTCAACACGGTGAAACCCCGTCTCTACTAAAAGTACAAAAAATTAGCTGGGCATGGTGGTGCGTGCCTGTAATCCCAGCTACTCAGGAGGCTGAGGCAGGAGAATTGCCTGAACCCAGGAGGCGGAGGTTGCAGTGAGCCGAGATCGCGCCATTGCACTCCAGCCTGGGTAACATGAGTGAAACTCCGTCTCAAAAAAAAAAAAAAAATTCTCAAACTTACTTGACAACCCATTCTTTGAGTTATATCTACTAAGAGCTCATAGTTCAATAACAATCCAAAGAACATACTTTGGAAAACACTGGCCTATAGACCACAATAGGAAGGGTCTAAAGTGAATTATTTGCCAATTCCTTATAATCAATTGGCTACAATCATTAATTTAATAATTTATCAATGCAAACAGTGGCATTAAAAACTGCAGCACAATCTGTAATTTTACCTTCATATGCAGAGAAATTAAGAATTTTTGTCTTTTAGAAATAAGTATCTCTCTGAAACACTGAAATACATTTATGGGTAAAATAATACTTCTGGTATTTTCTTCATTATAACACATGGAATGGAACAGTGGCTAGAGGCATGGACAGAGCAAGGTTAAATATGAGCTGATGGAGCTGGGAGTTGAGTACATAAGGGTATAATATGCTATTTCTGTGTATGTTCAAATTTCTCTATAATAAAGTGTTAAAAATTTATATGTACTTGACAATTCCTTAGAGAAAAGAGACTAAAATAAAATAGATCTATGTCATAATCTACAGAATAGTTATTTAAAAAGTTACACAAATCATAAATTCAGTACAAATGTCTACTGAGAGAAAATAAAAACTATTTAGGATGATATACCTGTAAAATAGAAGAACTTACTAATTTATGATACATACTTGCTTGTGTTTATAGAAAAATGTTTTCAAAGGATGTAAGTATATTATGACTAATATTTCTTTATATATCAATTATACTTTGTTTTAAATCTCAATTATAAGAATGAGATTATAGGAATATAAAATACCTTTTTCTAAATAATGCATAATTCTGCCAAAATCTATCCTAATTATAAGATGCAAATATTAATATTTGAGAAATGTAGCAAAATGAAATATAATTACAGAGGAGCAAAGATTACACTTAAGCTTTTATATTCAAGGGCCTCTATTGAATATGGGATATTCCCTAAGAACTAAACAAAGAAAAATAAATGGGTATAAACTATGTTTACATATATTTTTAAAGGACAACTGATCTTGATTAATACCAAACTAGAAAATGTAGAATTAGAAGAGAATCATTAGTTGAAGCAAGCCTGTGAAACTGAATTAAAGCCAGGTGTCTCACATATTGTTGTGGTAACATATTGAGGCTGTTTTCCCAACTTTGTATGGACAAGTCTTCTATGACAAAGCAGATGGTCAGACCACACTAAATGGTTGTACTAAAAGAGAATGAAAACAGAAGCTTTTTACACCTGTCTTCTCAAGGTATGGCATTTCTTGGTTGCTCTGAACATGTAGAGTCATGATTATAAGGAATTGTCAAGATAGATCTTCGCATTATGGATATGCTGGCCATCTGGTTAACACAAAAAATAAATCTATTCTCCTGCTCTATATAAAAGTAAGCTTCTAACCATAATTTTTGTTCTTTTTTTGTTTTGTTTTTGAGACAGAGTCTTGCTCTGTCACCTAGGCTGGAGTGCAGTGGTGCAATCCCAGCTCACTGCAACCTCCGCCTCCCAGGTTCAAGCGATTCTCGTGTCCCAGCGTTCTGAGTAGCTGGGATTATAAGCACCTGCCACCTCACCCAGCCAATTTTTGTATTTTTAGTAGACATAGGGTTTCGCCATGTTGGCCAGGCTGGTCTTGAACTCCTGACTTCAGGTGATCCACCCACCATGAACAAAATTTTCCTTGTAAAAGGAAAAGGACTACTAGTATTTTGAGTTTCTAAGATGTCATTTTACAGCAGCATCAAATGATACCGGCCAGATACAATGGCTCACGCCTTGTAATCCCAACACTCGAGGAGCCCACGGTAGAAGGACTGCTTGAGCCCAGGAGTTTGAGACTAGCATGGGCAACGTAACAAGACTCTATTTCCACAAGAAACAAAAAATTGGCTGGGCACAGTGGCATGCACCTATAGTCTCAACTACTTGGAAGGCTAAGGCAAAACCACTTGAACCAGGCGTTCAAGTCTGCAGTGAGCCATAAGCATGCCACTACAATTCAGCATGGGCAACAAAGCAAGATTCTCTTAAAAAAAAAAAAAAAAAAAAGGGGTGGGGGGGAAGAGATTCCTGTTTTTAATCAACAGAAGAATTACATTTATCTTTCAAATGTTTTTTCAGTATATTTTAACATCTATTCATCATCAAATATTTACTGTTTTATGCAGAGGTAAAAAGCAAGTGTATTTGGTGATACTGAATTTTGGTAATTAAATATAGTGATTTGGGTTTATTATTGTCCTTGCTCTCAAAGAGACTAATATTAATAAACTTCTGGGAGAAAATGTGCTTGTGTGTGTATTTACACAACATAGCTCATCGTCTGTGTTTATGTTGCCTTAGAATAAATAATTCAAGAATAAAATTTGTGTTGGTTCTAAATTATTTATTCTTCATCAGCTTTTTGATCTTAGAACCAACACAAGTTTTATTATTGAATCATTTAGGATTTTATCTGAGACTGTCTAGTTAACTCAACCTATGCATACCCAGCCTAGGATATGGACCCATCCCAAACAACTGACAAAACACATGAAGAAGTTAACTACATCATGCCTACTACTATCTTTGTAGGCACTACTCCCACTGCCACAATTACGTTATTTCCAGTGTTAGCTGGTATTTAGCCTTTACACAGGATATAAAGATACACATATAATCTATGTATATGATGTAGATTACTAATGTAACTATTAAATATCCATGCTAATGAAATAACGTAAATAGTTGCCTAACGAATAGTGTGTCTTTTACTAGAGTGGGCCTGAAAACACCACAATTCAAATTAGTTAAAAGCCTAGGTTAAAACTAAAAATACTAGATATAAAGATGTTCTTATTCATTGGAAGTTTTCAGCTCTAAGAGCATAAATCCTATTTATGTAAGCTATGTAGTAATATTCTTTATACAGAATTTAGCCATTTAATGGTAAGTAAAGATAACAGATGTATAAGCGACAAAATTTGTGTTGTAAATATTTTTAAATGAAAAAGGCAACGGGGAAATTGCTAAGAAAATTTACAAGGAAATAAATGAATCAATTTAAACTATGAATCTGATTTTTAAATTAGCTATACTTACGCTTGTCTTTCAGTAAATATGACATCCATACTTTGTGTTTCTCGATCATTCTGAGCTTTAAGCTGAATAAACAGTTAACACATAAGTTAGTAATAAATAAAAATTAAACCAAAATTTTTTGTAGGTTATTTTGGTTACGAACTAAGAAATTATTATAATCATCCTAGTGCCACATACAAAGTCTAAGAAAAAAATACAGTAATTGTCTCATTTAACAAACAATACCAGATTTTTTAAAAGTCTTTTTAAGAAGCACTGTAATTTCATACCAAAAATATTCATTGTTCTTCACTGATCTGTCAAATAAATCAATTCAAGTAAATTTATGTAAAAAGCATTTAAAGAATGTATTGAGTGCTAAATAAATATTTGATTAGCAATATGTTAAATTTAGAACCATCACAAGTTTTATTCCTGAATCATTCAGGATATTATCTGAGTATGCCTAATTAATTCTAACGGTGCATACTCAGCCTAGAAAATGGATGCCCTATACCAAACAACTGACAAAACACATCAGGCTTTTACTTTTTACATCTGTCATTGAAATACAATTCTTAATTAGTGAATTCTCTTGTGTTCTAAAGCTAAAAGTAACTAAATTATCATGGTTTTAGAACCTCAAATTTAGAAGAGTCATT